GATGAAGGGCACTGGGAACTGAGGAAAGTACTCCCCCCTCAAACACACACACACATGCTCCGTTTGTTCAGTCTCCCTGTGTACAATTAAAGTATCTCCCTACTTTGTCCTCCCAGCCTTGAAAGTGGAAATGGCAAAGCACTTGCCCAGTTCTTTGAGGAAGGGGCAGATGGCTCTGAGTTGCAGCCACCATTTGGAAGGATAAGAGAGTAGGCCTGAGAGTGCCCTAGAAATGAAGCCCCCACCCCCTCACTTGCCAATTCATGCAGAAGAGGAAAAAATGTATTCAATCATTTATTGAATTTATTGAGCACCTACTACATGCCAGGCACTATTCTGGGCACTGGGGACACTGAATAGCAAGGAAAAGTCCCTACTTTCATGGAGTTTACATTCTCTCTGGAGACTGGACCTCAGGTACAAGCTGATCAAACCCCTGCCTCCATCTGCCAGCTCCAGGAGAATGTATCTCAGCCACCAGCATCCAGATGCCTCCGTTAAGGGCCTCTCTCATAGGACACAGCTACGGGGACCTCACAGACTACAGGTTCCTTGCAACAGCACTGTCCTGCAGCTTGCTTTCATTCTGTCTCCTTGGTCTTGAGGAAATGAGAGAGACCTAAATGTTCTCAGAGCTCCTATGAATGGGCTTGGGGCCCATCAGTCCCATTGACTAGGGGCTGCATGAGTGTGATGTGTTAGTGATACCTGGGCTGGCTGGGGGTGCTGCATTGGTATGCTCAAAGCCTGGGAGGACCTGTCTCCAAAATGACTGAGTTTCTCTCTGTCTGCCTCTGCCGGCCCCCAGGTGAAGAGCGTGAACCTGTCCGACGGGGAGCTGCTCTCCATCCGTGGGGTGGACGGCCCCACCCTGACAGTCCTGGCCAACCAGACACTCCTGGTGGAGGGGCAGGTAATTCGAAGCCCCACCAACACCATCTCCGTCTACTTCCGGACCTTCCAGGATGATGGCCTTGGGACCTTCCAGCTGCACTACCAGGGTAGGGTCAGGCCAAGGCTGGATGGGGTGTCTCAGTTTCTTTCCTCAGCTTCTTTCTGGAGCCCACAATTCTCAAACTTTTTGTGCCAAGGACCCCTCTGGTAGTTTGGTAAAACTTACCCCATCTCAGAATAATGTTGCTAAAAGCACAAAACAAGATATACTATATACAATTTTTAAAAAGAAGTCAGTCATTTCAGATTACAGTTGTCAAAATATTGTTCTAATTTGTGATATAATAATCTATGTGCTTGCACATTACTACATTAAATAATANGGGGGAGCTGGCCAGTACAGGGATCGAACCCTGGACCTTGGTGTTATCAGCACTGCATTCTAACCAACTGAACTAACCAGCCAGCCTAGCTATGTTCTTTTTCTAATCAGCAATAAAAAGCCGTCAAAAGTTTTTCAGCTGTGTCAGTTGTGTGACCTTACCAAAACTTTACTTTAGAAAGGTTGTTTTTTTTTTTCACTTTTGCAACAAGTGTAAAAGGTAAGCCATGCAGCAGAACCTGAGGTCTTCGTAGTCCCCAGAGCTAAGCACAGCCTGTGGCCCATTGCAGGTGCTTAATAAATGCTTGTGGAGTTCAAATAAACTGAAGAAAAGTTGCAGTGTTTCTGATTTTGGTGCTTAATGAACCCTGCCCTCCATGCCATGAAGAGATCCATCTCAGACTGTATGGAGCTCTTTGTCAGGCACAGTAGAATTCATTCATTGAGCACTTACCATGTTCCAGGCAAAGCAGAGTGACATGGTGGTGTGCAAGACTGACGCAGTGTCAGCCCTGAAAGAGTTCACAGATTAAGACAGAAACACGTAGGATGCCACTCGATAAGAACTCTAGCAGGTGTTTATAGGGT